AAAAACTTACGTTTTGACAACACATTTTAACAATTCGGAATAAAGAATTGTGTTCCTTATAGTCCGCCGTTTGGGAATTTGGTTTTTGTCTGATAAATCTTACTGTAAATACAAAATAAACATATTTATAAACATATATATAAAAACATAAACATATATAAACATATAAACATATATTTATAAACATATATATATTTATAAACATATTTATTTTATTTATATTTATTGTAAACTCAATAAAGTTCTTCAAAGAAAAACCTTTAATAAAAAACAATCACTTTGAGAAGTTAAAACAGGAACAACTTACCTCGGCAATAAAATGTTTTCAACGTTTGAAACTTCACTAAAACACATTAAGTCACTTACAAGCTACTACTGTTGACAAAATAAAATTAATAGTCACAATTATTGCATTGAATAGTATTGCCAGTTACCGCAGCAACAATTTTTCAAAATCAAGTAACGCAATTTATCGATATATGGCTCCGATAGCATCAACTCCACCCGAAAAAAGAGTTTTGTTCCTAATAGCCCCAGTTTACGGTATGCAATTTATTAGAGACCTTAGCGTAGATTGCGTTATGTAACTCCCTCGGATCACTTTCCCGTAATTGGGAACGGCTAAACTGCAATACGCTATCTGGTGAGAGACCGATCTCTCCACCCATTTTGTTTCTTTGTCTCTCTTTAATTAACAGGTTAGAAAGAGTAGAAAAAACAAAATAGAGGGAGAGATCGGCCTAAAGTTACTAGATTGTTACCAGACCACCGTTTCCAATAGTTTCTCTCAATATTTTTACACATGCAGATAAAATTTTTCTCCTGGAATAAAATGGAACTTTAACCCTCCGTCACACACCTAGGGAGGGATTCCCTCTACGGTTTCAGTATTTTTTAAATAACTTTTGTTTTCCTCATTGCAAAATAAAATCAGTTTCTATACCTTTCGACAATTTCCTCCTCAACACATTTCTAAAAAAACATTTAGGTTTAAACATAATTAATCTTTAATTATGAGGCTTCAAAGCCAGAAAAAACTCGAAAAAGTGAGGTTATGTTAAGTAAAAAAATCAAGTTTTTAAAACATTTTTTGTTCAACTGTTGGTTAATGACAAAATTATATTATAAATATAATTAAAATGAATTGTTTAATGATTTTTTTGCTTATTTGTTAATGTTACATTATTTTTACATGTCAAGTGGAATTCCTTCGAAGATGTGCATTCGTGTAATTAATTTTTATTTTTGAGACCGAAAATTAATTTTATTAATTTTATAATTTAGAATAATTTACTACATACATATTTGTAAGTTTATGTTAAAATTAAATTTTTGTTGATTCCTTTGTAATGTCGCTTATTTTACAATGTGGTGAGGGATTCCCTCTAAACGTGTGTAAAGTCGTAATTTTTTCTAAGGTGTGTGACGGAGGGTTAATAAGAAATGAAAATATCACACTTGTGCAATCTTACACTTTTGAAAAAAATGATAATGAATCAGTCAACAAATTGGAAAGTGATCTTACAGGAAAAATATTAAAATGTGCTTTCAAGGTAGGAATAAAAAAAATGTAAATAAAAAAGTGGAACTTCAAAACCTTGGTACGATAAAGAATGCGTGGAAAAAAGTTGTTAAAAGATTGCTTAAAAATTTGCAAATTAAATCGATTCCTAGATAAAAAATTAATAGTGTGCTATAGTTATAAAAAAAAATTGGACAAGTGTGAGTTGTACTCGCACTGCAATGGCGGGTTCCGTACACAAATATTAAAACAATACTTGCAACATTTATCGGTAATTGGTAGAATTCAAATAAACAATTGAAAAAATATATTAAAATCATTTGATAAAAAAGAATAACTAAAAAAATTAAAGTATTGTATATATCTAATATTGTAAACAATAATAAGCAGAGAAACTATAATTTTGAAAATTTTGTTCCTCTGCTTATTATTGTTTACAATATTAGATATACAATACTTTAATTTTTTTTAGTTATTTCTTCTTATCAAATGATTTTAATATATTTTTTTAATTGTTTATTTTAATTCCACTAATTACCGATAAATGTTGCAAGTATTGTTTTAATATTTGTGTACGGAACCCGCCATTGCAGTGCGAGTACAACTCGCACTTGTCCAATTTTTTTTTATTTTTAGTTAAGAAATTAAAGTCAGAAAACAATCTCTCATTTATTCTCTTAAAATTTCACTCTTCCTTAAAATATTTAATGCCACGTGTTTAAACTAAAAAAAATTAAAAAAAAATTTTTTTTTTGAAAAAAAAAATTTAAAAAAAATTTTTTTTTTTTAAAGTTTCTTAAATAAATTTTTTGTCGTCAGACTGTAATAATACACCAGGATACCAATTTCCAGCTCATAAGGTCAAATAATGTAAAAGTTAGGGAAAACAAATTTTTTTTTTTAATTTTTTAGTTTTTCCTTGACAACGCTATGGCCATCATTACATATCAAGTTCTCTATATTTTTCCTGTAATATTCGAGTAAAAATACACCAGCATGCAAAATTTCAGCTCTCCATGTCGAATAGTTTAGAAGTTAAGAGGGGGGAATGGTCACTTTTTATTCATTTTTGGACAAAAATCAATAGTTCCGCCGATACACCGTAGGTGTACGGAACCCTAAAAAGAAGATTATAAGAATCTATTATTACAAAAGAAAGAAAATTTTAATAATAACTTATTGAAACAATTATCTATGATTAAAGACTCTGCTTCGTTCTGGAAAATTGTGGACCTATTTAGATACCGTGCAATTAGCGTTGAATGCTCTACAAGAAAAGTGATAGGCTTGGTGCGGGTGATAAGATTGTTAGGAACTTGAAAATTCTCTACAGCAGATGAGCCACGGTTGCAGTTAAAGGAACGAGTAGTATTTCAAAGCCGAAATTGGTGACGAAAGGAGTATTGCAGGGAGAGTCAATGAGCCCATTACTGTTTACCTTTTTTATTGCCGATTTTGAAGAATTTTCAAGAGCTGAAGGTGTAAGGGGGGTTTCAATAGACCAGCTGACAGAAATCATTGTTTGGCATTCGCAGATGATATCGCACTCTTAGCAGCCCACGTAAAAAAGTTCCCGGGAATTAAGACCGAGAAATTCCCGGGAGTCACTCCCGAGAAATTCTCGGGAATCTCCCGGGAAATTCCCAGGAGTGAAAAAAACAAATGAATAAAAAAAATTTTTCTTTTGTTTTTTTCACTCCCGGGAGATTCCTGGGAATTTCTCGAGAGTGACAACTGGGAATTTCACGGTCCAATTCCCGGGAACATTTTCACCTGGGAGACTCGGTTTCATCTATGAGAAAAATACTTAAAGCTCTTTATAAATACTGCTAAACTAATTATTTAAGTATGGAAATATCGAGGTTGTTTCTAATTACACAGGACTGATTACGATGCCGGTGTCCGTATCACCCCATCACGTCAGCATCAAGGTCAAACACCTTAATTTGAAATATTTAATTTTTTTGACCCAGGATTCAAAAAGAGCGGAAAATTTTACGTCCGAATAGGTTTTGTCCGTTTTTATGAACCAACCCTTAATGGTCAATTGAAGGTCATCTTGATCCGGTGTTGAAAAAATTAAATATTTTGAAATAAAGTTTCTCACCTTGCTTTGATCTTGACGCTGACGTAATGGAGTCATATCGATACCTGGATCGTAATCAGCGACCCCTAAACCATAAAAACAATTTGTTTTAAAATCCATTCCTAACTAACTTTCCGGAAAAGAGAATGAAATCGAAATTTGACCTTCTAGATGACTTCCCATTGACCTTTAAAGGTAAGTTCATAAAAACAGTCAAAACGTATTCGGACGTAAAATTTTCCGCTCTTTCTGAATCCGGGGTCAAAAAATTAAATATTTCAAATTTACGTGTTTGACCTTGATGCTAACGTGGTGGGGTCATGCGGACACCGGCATCGTAATCATCGACCCCAAAAACATAAAGGTCACCGTCACTTACAACATGTCCACCTCAATTTCTGTTTGTGGTCCTGTGTTATGTTTATTTGGGTAGTACATTTACATTCATCTCTTGTACCGAATCGAAAAACCGAAATTTAGGTTCGCTTGACGGGCCGTAACTGGCTAAATCGTGCATTCGTGATAAAAAATATTTTGTGTAATATGGGGAAGAGTAGATTTACGGTCGGACAAAGTTTTTAGCACGAATCGAAGTGCTCGACTCGTGCTAAAAACATTCGCCCTCTCCGTAAATCGTCCCTTCTTTCACGTGTTGTAGTTATGTTTAACAGTTATTGAACAGTTTTTTGGTGTTTACTGGGTCTTGTCAAACAGGCGATACAAAATAATTGAGATTTTCCATTTTTCTGAACCCTGACGAATGAGTAGACAGAAATTGTACTGAGATACTGACAGTTCAGTGCAATTTCAGTACATATTTTCTGCGTATTTGAACTGAATTTATACTCAGAAAAATTACCTGTAAAAGGGTTTATACCCTTATAACAGGGGATGTTACAAGTTTAGAACAACATAGATATGGAACAAATCTGAAACAGTTATGGAACAGTTTTTTGGTGTTCACTGGGGAGCAATAGAGAAGAATTGATTTTTAAAAATTTTAATGTTTCGTGGAATAGAGGTTGAAGTTAAATTCGTCTATTCAGAAGAATTAAAAAATCCTCATTTTGAAGCTTTTCTGAATAAGTCCAGTGGACGAAACTAGTTGTTACAGTTAGAAGTTTGTCGCATTTTTAAATGTAACAGTTTGGAGATTTGACTGTACCTGGTTGAGAGCATGTCAAAATAAATAAATTATATCAAATGAATGTATTGAATGTAGAAACTGTTTTAAATCACTACAAAAATATACATGTAAATTTTTTTTTGTTTTTATCAAGTTTAGTTCTTGTTTAAATCTCACTTTTTAACAGGTTATTGATGAAAAAATTTTGTTCATATAATAGTAATGTTTAGCACTAAACAGGTTAACATAATTACTTATGTTTCTAGAGAGAAGAAAGTTTATTAATAATAACATTATTGTTTGGTGCAACTCGAGATCAACAGAGTGCAGTTAGAGCTGCAAGTTTAAGAACTTTAGGACTTTTAGTATCATTACCTGCATTAGAAGAAAGTATTGGATTTCTTATGGATCTTGCTGATATTACATGCTTATCCCTTCAAGATGAAAACCTGGGAGTACGCATAAAATCTGCATGGGCATTAGCTAGTTTATGTGACTGTTTTATCAGAATAGAGTGAGTAAAATGTCCATTAATGTTCTATACAACCTCAAAGTTAAAATTTCTACTACTCAAGTAACCTGTAAGTATTCAGCAAGTTTGCACCATAAGTTCCATAAGCTTCCACGCAAGCTCTCTGAAAGTAGTAAAATTACCTTCTTACTGCAAGTTCACCACGCAACTTTGTTACAAAGTTGCAAAAAGCTTACAAGGCAAGATTGCTGCAAACTTTAAAAGCAAATTTACTGCGCATATAAGAATTTTACTAAAAATTTTGCATTAAACCCCGTGCAACGAGTTTCAAGCGAATCTAATATCGATGGGTGTTACGTAAAAAACACAATCAAGATTTAGGACAAAAAAACTCTCCCGAAGAAAATACCTATAACTAAAAATACAGTTTTCATTTTAAGTTTTCTGCATAAATAAAAGAGTTTTTCTAATTTTCTCTTTCGTGTTGTAATATGTAGTTAAAAATTTAATATAATCAGTTTTTAAAATGGTTTTTGCAAATTTTTAAGCATGCTAAAAAGATGAAATATATTTGGGTGATTCTCCTGAAAGGGACCCTTTTTTGGTTGAATTTCCAAAAAATCAAATTATTCTTTTTTTGTTACTTTTCTTTCATAAATAAGTTTAGAAAATGTTTAAAGATAAAAATATAAGTTGCGCAAAATTAATTTTCAGAAATAAGACCTCCAGGAACATTTTACTATCATGTGTTCTAGAGGTTAAGTATAATTAATTATAACTTTTAAATTAATTATTTTGTAAAAAAAACTCGGTAGGAATATTTTTTTTAAATAATAAATTGTTATGTTTTAATTTATTGCACTTTTTGCTTGTATATTTTATTTTTATTAAATTAATAATTTAATTTGAGGGTTAAATATTTCAAAACAATGATTAAAAAATTAAAAACAAAAGAAAACGCCTATCAAATATAAAAAAGGCTTCGGAGATGAATTGATAATTTAATGAAAAAATTCTCATTTTTTCTAATTTTAAAAATATTACAATTTTTTAAACAATATTTTTAGTTTTAATCATCAAATATTTTCACATCGATTACATATTATGTTTAAAACGTTAAAAAATATGATGTTATTATATAGAAAATGAGGCTTCGGAGATGAATTTAATTTTTACTCTCATTGATAATACTATTTTAATTAATAATTTAAATAACTTTTTTTACCTTATTTTAAACAAATGTAAGTAAAAAATAATCCTTATATTCTGAACTTTAATTTGATATATATCATAAATATGTTGAAATTGTTTAAATACGTTAAAATATAATTATAAAATATACATTCTGTTTAACCAAAATTCGATGACAAAATTAAATATGTTTTTTAAATAGGAAGAAATTTAAATATAAGCAATAGAAGATTATATAAAGATAGATAAATCTTCGTAGATTATAAATAAATTTTTCAAAAAATTTAAACTTGATAAAATATTAATGAAAAATTAATTTAAATAATGAACCTCATGTTGGAGACACGTGAAGTGGTCCCTTTCAGGAGAATCACCCATTTAAAGTTAGGGATCTTGGATAACTAACTACTGGCAAAGAAACTAAATTGATTCCATTGACTAGAAAAATTTTATTAAAAATGTAATAAAGTGGAGATTCTTCCCAAAAAATGTTAGTTCGGTTGTGGGTACCCCTGAAAAATGTACTAAAATGGGAAAAAATTAACTAAGGGGCCATTCATTAATTTTTTAGGATGGATGATTTTTGATAATTTTGACCCCTCCCCTCATGAAAGGACACATAAGATTTCTCTTACCCCTCCCCTATATTTGGTAAGATTTCGAATATATCGTACTTTCAGGAAAAGTTTCTAAAAAAATGTCTTACATAAGAATGGCTGGTCCACTTCATTTTCACTTCTATATATATGGGCAATTTCACGTGAGATTTTAGTCGACCTCTTAAAATCGGCCAAAATATTTTTTTTCTATTCTGTATCGAAAAAAAAACAGATACGTGTTTTTTTATTTTTGTTTAACCCTTAAACCACACACTGCCGAATCCATCCTTAAACCGCACACTGGGTGTGCGACACCCGGGGACTTTTAATTGTATTCTCCAAGCTGGAATAGGATATTATCTTTTGGAAAAATTATCTTATATAGCTCAGTACATCTATTTTGAAGCAAAATAGGTTTCATAATGATTTATTTAATTTTAATAATTAAAACAGAGTTTTTAAAAACTACTGAAATTACCTTAAACCAAAAACTGGGTGTCAAACAAGCAGAAATTTTTCTCCGACAACTTCATAAAGTTATCAAATACACAAAGACACTTGGGAGACTAATGTCCCTCACGGAACATAAACTTAAGTACAAAATGTATCGTCCAATAACGACACATGTTCAATTTTTACGAATTTAACTGAAATATTAGAGTAAAAAGCTAGAATATGGGTGTCGCACACCCAAGGTGCGGTTTAAGGGTTAATTGTCCAAATTTTCGAGTTATGAATTTTCGAAATTTTGGACTTGTAATTGTAGACCCATATTCAGTAGCTTATAAGTCCGAAAATATTGAGTTTATGAAAAAGTTGTCAAAGAATAAAAGTTTTAGTTTTCTTTCGACTTTTAAAAATTTAAACAAAAATTTTTTTAAAAATTTTTTATTAAAAATTTTTTTTTATGAACAAATTTTTTTTTTAAATTTTGGGCCGGATTTTTAAAAATTTTTTTTAAATTTATTTATACCTTATAATATAGAGGAGATTTTCCAAAAAGTCCCGAAATAGGCCTGATGTGTTAAATGAGTTTTAAAACATTTACAAAAATCACTTGCAAGCATCACAGTGGAATTTTTTTACAATTAACTATTTAAAACTGTCTACAGCGTATAATTCTTAATATATTTGAGTGTTATTTCTTTTAAATTGAAGGCTTTACGCTGTAGACAGTTTTAGAAAGTTAATTGTAAAAAAAATCCCACTGTGATGCTTGGAAGAGATTTTTAAAAATGTTTTAAAACTCATTTAACACATCAGGCCTATTTCTTGACTTTTTGGAAAATTTTCTCTATATTATAAGGAATAAATAAATTTAAAAAAAATGTTTAAAAATCCTGCCCAAGGTCAAGTTTCTTCACAAATTAATAAAATTCGAAAAAAACTGACTGTAAGCAAGATTTAAATAAAAATTAGCAGAAGGTTCTATTAAAAAACAACTTTAAAACACTGAAAAAATATTATATAATGTTAAACAATCAAAAATACTCGTAAATATTCAAAATTTAAGATCCAATATGGCGTCGATTTTTTTAAAATTCAACCAATTCGCCTGAATCTTGTTACTCGGGGGTTTTTGGGGTTGCTAAATACGAATTTCACTTTGGTTTTCAAAAATTCAAAATGGCGGATCCAATATGGATGACTAATTTTTAAAAAAATTATTTGATTTACCTAAAACGTTATACTCGGAGGTTTTCGGGGTCGCTGAATACGAATTTCACCTTAGTTTTTAAAAATTCAAAAACTGAAAAATTTTTAAATAATTCGTTAGCCATATTGGATCCGCCATTTTGGATTTTTTAAAACTAAGGTGAAATTCGTATTCAGCGACCCCAAAAACCCCGAAGTAACAAGTTTCGAATAAATCTGATAATTTTTTTTAAAATACGACAGCCATATTGGATCCGCCATTTTGAATTTTGAAAAACTAAGGTGAAATTCACGGGGGTGAAACGCAATGTAAAACTGATGGCAGAGCAATACACTAGTCAATGCGCTACTATAGAAATAGGCATATCTTTGACTTCAGCAGTTTTGCGCGCCAACATGGCGGCGCTGGGCGGGGAATTTTAAATTCTTGTAATTTATATATGTATATTTAAAGTACACTCTAAATCTGAATCAGTTAAAATTCCATTGATTTCAATTCAGTGGCCCAGGTTTCTTTGATAAATCAGTGGTTTTAACTTATTCTCAGTGAAATTCCACTAATCAATTAAAGAAAACTGGGCCACTGAATTAGAATCAATAAAATTTTCAGATTCAGATTTAGAGTGTTGTATAAACACTATACTAATAATAAAAAAAACCTTTTTTTGATAAAATACTTTCTGTATTTAAATCAAAAAGGTTTTTTTATTAGTAGTGATTTACAATTTTAACTTATTCTTTTTATCAAAGTGTCTTCTGGGAAAAGTAATAACAAAGCTAACTCGATAAAATTACTTTGAAAAGAAATAAGACAAAGTATTTTAGTGTAAACAAAAATATAATTTATTTATCATTTTTAAATATATACACATACTTGACAATACAATTTTTTTAAATTGAAAAATGAAACACTTAACATGACAATATAAATTATATTAAATCGTTTTTTCCAAATATTTCCGAAACTTTAATTCACCATTTTTTAGAAATATTTGCAAAAACCGTTTTTAAAAATTTAGAAACACATAACATATAAAAATAACGAGAATATTTTTATAATAATAGAGAAAATTTTTTTATAGTACTATTTATATATATATATATATATTACATAAATATATTCAAATTAAATAGAAAAATATTATTTTGACGCGTTAGTCAAAGAGAACAATTACAATTAATATTAGAATAATAATAATAATCGTTGTAAAAAATTTCTTATTTATTTAAAAGAATATTAAAAATTCGTTTTTACACTTACAATAAATAATGAAAACACTGCTGCGCTGCGACAAATGTCAATATTGCAGAATTGTCGAAATTCGCTCTTCTTCTCAATAAATGCTGGAATAATGCTGAAAGGAAAAGTAAACAATTAGTATAGTTCATGAAATCTTAAAGTTATTTCAATTTTATTCCTTAATATTTTTTATATTATTTAATAAACACTCTTTTATTTATATATGTAATATAAATTATAATAAATTTAAAAAACAATCAAGCTGAATTATAATTCTAACCTACAAAAACATAACATGCATTAATTATTTCTAAATTTTTTTGGAAACTTTTTAATTATAAGCTTGGGGTACTTAC